GTTTTTCGAACAACCTAGTATGAGAGCCTGTTCTAGTACACCCCCAAAACAAAATCAAGACTTTGTAAAAAAGCATAAAAGGACCCCTTTAACAAATAAGCACAGGTCAACCTGCCATACCAAACAAGACCACAGGAAGATGCCAGTCTAAAAATTTCTAATATATTTCTAACAATTTCTAATATATAAATTAGACATACATTGTTCAGATATATGGTTATTATACAATTACACATTACACATGCCCATATAATGCGGTTGGAAATCTCATATCCAGATTCAACAATATTGTTTCTTGGGGACTTTAATCATGTTGATATGAGGAAGATCATGCCCAGATTAAATAAATAAATAATATATGTGTGTGTGTGTGTGTTTATGAATGTATAATACATATTTTGACAAAATACATATGTATAATACATATGACACACAAAGACATTTGTTTTGTGTAAATATGCCTCATGCATGTGTAATTTGTATACATGTCATTAATATATGTCATTATGAATTGTACACATGAAAAATTAAATGTACAGTATGTAAAATATGTTTATGATATATATATATCTGTGTAACTTACGGAAAACATGGTGTTCACATATATTTTGAATATGTTACTTATTGTCAGGTGAGGCAAGGGAAGAAGGAGGACTCAAAGATGCAAAGGTTAATGGGAAACCGCACACTCACACAAAGACAAGAGGATAGGAGTTTCAGAACTCTGTCAGCAAAACAAGAATAAAACCCCACGTGATAGAACCCTGACAACTGCTATATGTAAAATACATGTTCATAATGTCTGTGTAATATTCTTTTATATTATGTATATGAATTGAAAACTTGTACAAATATATTAAAGGGGTGCTATTATGCTTTTTCACTTTTTCAACTTTAGTTAGTCTGTAATGTTGCTGTTTGAGCATAAAAAAGATCTGCAAAGTTGCAAAGTTCAAAGTCCAATTCAAAAGGAGATATTTTATTTAACTTTTCAAAAACTACAACGAACGACTCGTTTGGACTACAACGCATATTTACTGGGATTTGTGATATCACAAATATCGACGAATGGGACGAGACCTGGTTGAGCTGCACTAGAGAAGGCAACGAGTGTTATCACTATGTCGGAGACACGCTAGCTTTCCCAAGGCAGACGAACTTAGAGTGGTTACAATCATCCGGGTTTAAATCACACTCAAATTGATTTGATTTTGACGCAATATTTACACTGAAGCTCGCAGGCGGCTATGGTAAGGGGCATGACATTTATTCATTTAACAACCTAGTATGAGAGCCTGTTCTTGTACACCCCCAAAACAAAATCAAGACTTTGTAAAAGAGCATAATAGGACCCCTTTAAACATATGGTTACATATCTTTTAATAGACTTTCAATCTTTTAACATGGACATGTACCTACAGTGTTGCAGTGCAATGCACATGGCCAGGGCTGGACTGGGGCTAAAATTCAGCCCATCCGGCCCATGAGTTCAGATTTGCTGGGTCAAAATTGGAATAGATAAATGAATAATAGGTGTTATTGGATTTAATGCAAATGCAGGTAACAAACTTCATTTTAAAATTTTTGCCACATATAAACACGATTTACAGTAAATCAGTAAAGATTTTGAGCTATAGGGTGCCATAAAATACATTTACTGCTAATAAATTATGTCATCATTTACTCTCATGTCATTTCAAACTGTTATGACTTTCTGGTATGAAGATATTTTCTAGAATGTTTGTAACTACTTACTCGTGAGTTCTATGCAAATAAACAAACAAATAGATAAATAACTTATGCTTTGTAATTGCCCCAATGCAATTTACTATAGTTCTTGCATACTAGAGTTTAACTGTAGACGGCCTATTAGTAAGACCATGGTATAAAACCTCATTAAGGGTATATGGTTTCCAAAATAAATAATAATAAACTTTAGAAAATGTTCCTTTACCTATAACATATCCATATTTATATATGGTTTATATTATACAAAAATATAAATATGTAGTACATATATTTCTTAAATATATACATGTGTGTGTATTTACAGTATATATGCATATAAATATACACAGTTCACACACATGATCCTGATTAAACTTTAAGGCCAGTTTGACTTGTTGTTTGTCTCTGTTTTACCTGTAATTTGTCAATTATTTTACTTAATGGTATGTCAGATACATTGTGTGTAGGTCTGTTTATTGCAGACAGTGTATTCTCCATACGGGTTTTACTTTCATCTCTTGAAAAACTGGTTTCATTAGTTTTCTGAAATTTTCCTGGTTTAACAGGTTTAAGCTCGGAAGAAAACCATCCACATCGAGAGTCCTATAAAAATGCAGAATTGAAAAGAGTTTCAAAACTTCAGTTCGCAGTTCAGTGGAGAAACAAGGAACATCTACATTATCATTATTCATGGTAGGTAAATACTACTTCGTAAGATACTGACATAGATTTAGTGTCATGTACTGTATTGATTCTGCTGTAAGGGAAACAGGTCAATTTAGCTCAAAGGGAATCATTTAAGATTTTAAAGGGAATTTGGACAGAATCACTGTTTTACGGCTGATCACTGAGACGGCCAGCGATTCATTGAACGAACCGTATAACATCCTCGTGATCGTCACTGGTTTACATGTGATGGTCATGCTGTGCATTTCTTTGACCATTAATCTTGATTACTTGCCCCAAAATTGACAATCTCCTTGGAATTGTCAATAAGTGTTCTTTTGTTTAAATGCTGTGAGCTGCTCAAAGCTGCTAGTTGGTTCAGGCTTGTGGCGCCAGGATCTGATTTACGAACATCCTGTGTCTTGGGCCTCTCTGTGGAATTCGGCTCCTCGTGTTTCAACTGTTCTTTATCAAATCTTAAATTGTCTGATTCGGTCTGATACCCTACACTGCACTCACAGTATCAGACAGCATTGAGACATTGACTACGTTTACATGGACATCAATAATCTAATTATTTACCTTATCCTGAATAAGACAACTTATATTATGATTAAGGTGTTTACATGAGTTGCTTTTAGAATATTCCTTTTATTCACGTTTTACATTTTATAGTGCATAGATCAATTAATGGCACATGTCATTACGTCGCCACGCGACACCATCTTGACGTTCCCTCCAGAATTTCCCGTATCAACATACAGTTCCTCTTCGGTACCCATGGGCGGCGCTAGGGAGGGGCCAGCAGGTGCTTCAGCACCCCCAAGAAAGACCATTGCACCCCCACACATAAAAAATAAATAAAATAAGTTTTAATAAAGTCAAATGTTTTTAACTTGTGCAATGCAATATAACGTGACAAGATTTGCAGTCACACTTTTCGTAATGTCATAGCATTTATTTTAAAAATGGATTGGTTCCTTGTGCCAAGTAGGCCTGCCCCCGACTAAAGATTTTTCTAATCAGCTAGTCGCATGTTTATATTAAATTGATTAATATAATAACCTACTAAACCATCTTTGTGGAATAGGCTATAATACGTCCTGTATATGCCTATATTTTAATTTAAGTTCGCACATAAAGCTTGCCGCAATGCACTGGCAAAAGTAATGATTATGAATGTGCCGGGAAAAAAGAAGACATTTTAATTTATTTATTAATAAACAATACTTTCTCAGTCAGTGTCGGCTGCAAAGATTAAGTTGCCGAATGCCGACTCGCCATCTCCAAAGTAATGGACTTGCCTTTAATAGCCTAGAGAAATGCACCTTTTCATACAGACTACATAATTAGATAATATTTGTTTTTTATTTGAATTGGTTCATTCAATAGTAGACATTTCAAGCTAGATTTTTTTTCATTGATTTAATTCTTATGTCTGAGGCAAGTAGCATTGTTGTGACGCGCTCCATTTCACGGAGACTGCATGAGACGGCGGAAAGCACATCCTGTTTACTTTCTCTATCTTACAAAAGCACAGCGTTTTGGTGTTATTGTGAGTGAACATAAATAAAATCAGAAATATTTTTTTTTTTACTTTTTTTAAATGATGTAGCCTATTAGGTTACTCCTGTATGACCAAAAATGACGGAGTAGCCTTAAATTCTTTCCACAGGAAAAAAAAATGCAAGGGATTGCGCTGGCGCCTCCATATTATGCAGTGTTTCATTTTTAATTTTACGAAAGCTTCAAGTGCAGTTAATTATTTGTCATGCTATACGTGCAAACAGAAGACGACGGATAAAAATGTGCCTACTTGCTTGAAGCCATGCTCTTTTGTTTGCCGTCAAACAGTTGACCACTGCCGTGTGTGTATCCTGTCACAAAATACGGCGAAAAGTCCTACACGATGGTAATAGTGTGATTAAAGTGTGTACATGTGTACTGCACGTCAATAATGCGACTAAAATAGGAATACTCCACATGTCTTAATTCGATTTGTGTTTACCTTAATCCGGCTAAAGTCATACTCAAAGTAATCAAAAATCAGTTTACATGGTTGATTCTTAATCAGAGTATTATCTTAATCGTGTTAATATCGTAATATTGTTGTCCATGTGAACATACTGATTGTGAACATACGGATTGTGAACATCAGATTGTGTACAGCATTGTGTACCTATTTTTTCCATAACAAAACTCCATAACAAAAAGCAATTTTCAATATTTTAAAGTAATTATAGCAAATTTGCTTTACACAACTCTCTGATGATTCATGTCTCTGCACACAGCTTCATAATCCAAATAACATTTAAACACTTAGGCCTACATGCTAAGAATGCAACTACTTCAGATCTTTTTCTTCGTGTCCTGCAGCTGTGAGTCGGTGAAGGACGATGGCGTCTGTTAAAGAGCTGCTCGTGGACTCAATGAAGGAGCTGGTAGAAGCTCAACTGAAGGAGTTTCATTGGCGCTTAATGAATGCATATCATAAATGTATATCAAAGTCTGAAATGGAAAAGGCAGATATATTCGACACAGTGGAAAAGATGGTAACATGTTTCGGATCAAAAGAAGCTGTGAAGATCACGGTGGACATCCTGAGAAAGATGAACCGGAATGATCTGGCTGAAGAGTTGGAGAATGAACATAAGCAAGGTAACATTTAATTCACTGTGACTGTAACATGGCTAAATATTTACACGTGTGACTTAAACCTTTCTTTCCTTTTTGCATTGCTGTGAGTAATTCTCTCTCTCACTCACACACACAGCTCAGGCTAAGGGCAATATGAAGACACCTGTCCCTGTTGGAGGTAATTCACAACAGATCTGTGGTAAATAACAATCACTTCCTGTAAATGGAAACAAGAGAAAATATAACTGCAAGCAGCAATTACAGGGCCAGTCACATCAGCAGCAGATTTTATACAAATATATAGAAGAGAACAGAGTGTTTCTCCAGTGATATCCAGTTCACAATAGTCTAATGCTGCGTTCAAGTCCTCCTGGGACGTTCGTACTTACGAGTTGACAAGTCGTAATTACGACGTCAGGTGCGTTCAAGTCAGTTTAGTCGGCACAAGATGGCGATGTACCTTCTTTTAATAAATTACAAGAAAATACAACAGGGTCTGCATTTTTTTACTTGGATTTCAGCTGCGTAACAAGAACATGACCAATTTAAGTTTATGGGACAACTAAATTATCAATTTAAACAAAAATTTACCGTCAACTACAGACGTTGCATCCTTCGATTCCGCCATGTTTCTCATTGAAACGCCCCCAACTCGGAAACTCGGGGCTTAAAGAAAATTTCGAGTTTCCCACTCATAATAATGACTTTGTGGTGGCGTTCATGTGCATTCAACTCGTAAATACGATCTATCCGACATGACTTGAACGCACCATAAAAGCATATTGTGATACAATTGTTTATTAAAGTTGACCAATAGATGGCACTGTCACTAAATTGATTCAATGTCATCAAGGCATGATTACAATCAGACATGGTCATGGAAAGGTTCATTTAAGCAAAAGTTGTAAATACAGCCTCACATTCTGTTTGATGTTCTAAATAATGTGGAAACCATTCATCAGCTTTTAGTAACATTAGTCAGCATGGCCTAAAGATGATCTCAATCAATCCAATGATTGTGATCTGGAAAGAACATAAAAACATATGAAGAGTTCAGATGCAAAACCTTCTAAATCCGTCAGACTTCTTTTCTTTTAAATGAGCATTTTTTATCAGGCTCCTATGTTCACGTTCAGTAGTTTCGTTTTAAAGGTAATGATAAGGTTATTAGTCAGTGAATAAAATAACTTTTTTTCAAAAATGTCACTTTAGACAATTCATTGGTTTTTAACAAATTAGATTTTCTTTTGCGTCAAAACCAGCTAAATCCACTTGTGCTTTTTTCGCAAAAGCCTCTAAATCCACCTCTTTGGGACAAGACATAGTAAATAGTTGAAAAATCACTAAAGATGTAACTAGAAACACTGAAAAAGATGAGAGCACAATCATTTCAAAACTAAACAGTAGACAAACCTCTTTACACGGGGGTTGAATGAGATCTGCGATTATTTGCCAATCCCACCCCATTTCTCTGCAGTCAACCTTCTGCCCTGTCTGAATAAAGGCAAAACGCCCCAAAAATATAAAAAACAAAAAAAAGAAAGATTCACACAGTATAACCACAATGGCACAAAATGGCAGCACATTTATTTTAACAATACAAAAAACAAGACGTTGCACAAACATTTAATTAAAAATACATTAAAAATACATAAATCTGTCAAGTAAGTGCATTAAGTCAGTAACATTAAATTGACAATAAAATCTTAACAATCATGTCATTTCTGATATTTGGGATTTAGATTCAAGTAGAACAATGTAAACATTGCAAACATTGTTTGTAAACAAAGCTTATTAGATTCAAATAGTGTAGTGTATAATCAAGTATGTATGTGAGAACAGTGCAAAACATTCTGATAAAAACTCAAGACACTTGTGTAAAATAACAGTCTGAATAAAAACATCAATATTTCCCATGCCCACCAATATCATAACGTGCTATGTGCAACTAGTATAAAAAAGCTTATCCAATTCAAATAGTTTAGTAATCAAGTAGAACAGTGCAACATTCTGAAACATCAATATCTGTGCAATGTGCATTTAGTATAAAAAGCTTATCAGACTTAAGTAGTGTAAAGTAATATTATATATAATGTATAACTCAAGTATAAGAAAATTCAGTGCACAAAACAGGTATTCTGGTTAAAATGTTGAAAGGCCTAAACAACTGTCTTAAACTAAAATGTTCCAATATAAACGGCATATCAGATTCAATTTAAATAAAATACTTCATGAAATGTAAAACGACATTAAGATAACACTAAATAACAATAACAATAAATGGGACTTGACCTCTTAATGAATTACCAATATCTTACAATAGCTTACACTAGCAAATAAAACACACACAGTACTGTGCAAAAAGAGGACATCTCTCAGACACTTTTAGATGCTGTCATTCATTCATCCTCACCATCCTCAAGGTCTTGTTCAATGTCCTTGTCACCATCACTTGCCAGGATGTTTTCATAGAACTCTTGCACAGCTTTCGGCACTCCCAACTCACCCAGCAGCTTCAAGACATCAGTCCTCTTTGCTTCCTTGACGCAGTTCACATCCGGAAGAGGAGCCGGCTTGAACTGAAACCACTTCTTACCTCGCTTCAGCACAGAGTGCTGGCAAAATTCACCAGCAAACACAGGCTTAAACCCAAGCTTATCTCCAGAGATTTGCAGCACTCTTGCTTCACTTATTTTGAATGATCTCTGAGTTGTCGTGAACCTGGCTGCTGCTTCTTTGAAGTCATAACACTGCCAGTCCTTTCCATATTGATGGACAGTGCCATGCTTCAGCAAAATGTTGTTATACTCTTCCGGCAACAGAATAGTAGTATGCTTCCGGATATCTTGCTCAATCCTTCCAAACACTCTGTCAGCCGGAAGGAAACTGTGCCCTCGTATAGGAAAGAAGTAAGTGATGTTGAGCTGAGGGTACAGCTGAGAACCCAGGGCAAACAACATTGACAGAACATTAATGTTTTTATTCTGGCCGTAGCAAGAGTCGGAGAACAGGCGGAGGCTCTGACACTGGCGCAGATCAGCTCTAGCCACTGTGCTGAAGTAGTGTTGTAGAGCTGAGGCGACGATGTTACTATCCTTTGAGTTCTCATATTCCAGCCAGGTGTACAGATTTATCTCATGCCGACTCTGGTGTTCTCCTCTTCCACGGTGACGAACCACACCGAATACATAAAAGTATACCTGGCGTGAGTAATACGTTTGACCAGTAGCAGACCTAGGAAGGACCAGGTTCTCCATTATGTCAAAGCAGACAGTGAATGTATCACCCACGTCATTTAGTGTGTCATAAAACTGACGGGCTCGGCGACGGTGAAGTGTGTAAAGAAGAATCTTATTCCGCTTCTCTTCTGCAGTCAGGTCAGGATCATTGATTGCAATGCGGAATTTGACACACAAAGAGCACACATCTTTGGCAGGATGACCAAAGGCCAGGTTGAAGTCATATACAAAGATGCTCCAGTAGAGTGAGTAGGAAACCTGTTGATGATTCTGCTCAAGAAACATCTGATGCATTTTTGCCACACTCAAGTCACTTGGCAGGAACTTTCTCCCAGGTGCACCACGGCGGGCATAGTGGCTTGCTCTACAATTAAAAGACTGTATGTGCTTTCGAACCATGTCCTTCTTTGCAGTTTGCTCTTCAATTTCCCTGGAACCACCACGATTTTCGGGACGTGCTTTGCTGTTCTCAAGCCAGTACTTTGCAATACCTTGGACCCTGTCTTTCTTGACACCTAAAATGAAAATAATCATGAAACCAATCTTGCAGGCATATTACCCATATTACATACAATTTCAAAACATGAATTGACAACAGTTATACAGTTTATTATTCTTTTGCAAAGGTCTACTCATATTAAATGCTCTCCCCATTGTGCAATAATAATATGTGTAATATCACTTATATTTATTTGATACCACCCATCTTATTCCATCTATAGCTCACCTGCACATACAATTTTTGTCTATTTGTTTTGTTTATTTATATATACATATGTGTATTTTTATTTACTTGTCTTTATTTTTCATTATCTGTGTGCTGTTGTTGTCTCTGTTTACTGGAAGCTTCTGTCACCAGAACAAATTCCTTGTATGTGCAAACATACTTGGCAATAAAGCTCTTTCTGATTCTGATACTGTTTTTAACAAATTTAGGTAGCCTATGACCATCAATGATAATGTTTTAAGTAGTCTATATGTCTTTTAATACCGCAGAGAGAGGCATTACCAGATAATAACGGCTGAAAAAATAGCCTGTGTACTGAGCACGTACTAGAGGAAGATGATTGGAAAAACATGGCTTTGACAACGTAAATAAAAATGTAAATAAATAAATAAAACACTAAAAATAATAAGGCACTAATGCAAAAATAGGAAAAACTAGTAACTATTGTGATGAGGAAATCCTTGTACTTACAGAAAATGCTCAGGAATGAAGCCTGGCAGACGGGAACTTGCGTTTTATCTTCTTTTAAAACGGCATACTTGATCGACACATCTCTTTGTCGTCTCTTCTCTTCAGCCTCCACTTGTTGTCTCCTCCGTTTACATGGCATAGCATCCATATGAGACAGAAGAATGGCATCTTGTTTGACTTTGTCGTTGGTGAAATAGAGCTGTTGTTTGATGTATAATAAATCAGATTCCTTCAAAGTAACAGCACTGCATGAAGAACTGTTATGAGTGCATGCTACACTTGCGACCAAGCCACTTCCACTGTTTCTTTTTTCTTTTGCCTTGTAACGGGCAGAGTTTTGAGGTAAACGACATTTTCTTCTGCCATTTAATGTCAGTAGGACAGGCTCATCCATTTCATCGTACTCCATCTTAAAAATGTTACAAATCTCAATCTGAATCTGAATCTAAAACAATCTCCACAAAAAAGCCGCTTGAAATCATATGATTCGATTCGCGCCTTCTGATTGGTTCTCGGAACATAGCGGCTTTTGCTGCCAAAGGGAAGTGGCGTCTAGAGGCTTTTGCCAACAAACTGATATTTCTGAATGGGCTGAGGCTGGGATTTAGAGGATTTGAAACAAAAATATTTGTTGAACGTGTACTATGTGCAGAAAGCTTTCGCTCAATGTCATTATCTCATTTTTGACGGAGGTGGCGTTTAGCGGCTTTTGCATCTGAACTCTTCATATTCAGAAATTTTAAAGCAAGCTCTTAGGGATGGTCTGTGCGGTTTTCAGCGGTATGAATTTAATCTGTCTGCATCAGTTCTTAATAATGAAGATCATTCTGATATGAAAAAAAAAAATTTGTCAAATTTGTTTAATGCTTTTTTGGTCAATCTTATTTATTTGTTTTTAATTATAGAACTGCAAAACTTCTTGAAAACTCACAAAAACAACATGAAGAAAAAAGCAAAATGTATTTTTGAGGGCAACAAAGAAGACGACACAGATCTCATGGCTGTTTACACAGAACTGTTCGTCACAGAGGGAGATATGAAAGATGTCAATCAGGAACATGAGATTCATAAGATTGATGAAGCTTTCAAGAACAAAAAAACACAGGACAAACCAATCAAATGCAATGATATATTTACTGAACTGAGGAAAAACAATGAGGAGAAGATTGTGCTGACCAAGGGAGTCGCTGGCATCGGAAAAACTGTCTCTGTGCACAAGTTCATCCTGGACTGGGCAGAAGGAAACACCAATCAGGATATAGACTGTGTGTTCCTGCTTCCATTCAGAGAGATCAACGTGATTAAAGATAAAAAGGTCAATCTCCATGAGTTTCTGCTGAAATGTTATCCTGAATTGAAGAACCTGGAGAAATCAAAGTTATATAAGGAATGTAAGCTTGTGTTTATATTTGATGGACTGAGAGTCGACCGACTGCCACTGAACTTTAAAAGCGACACACTGGATACTGTTGAGGAAAGAGCATCTGTAGATATGCTGTTTACAAGTCTGGTCAAAGGTAAGCTGCTTCCATCAGCTCTTGTCTGGGTGACATCACGACCAGCAGCAGCCAATCAGATCCCTCCTCGGTGTGTGGGTTTGTTCACAGAAGTGCGAGGATTCACCGACGAACAGAAGGAGCAGTACTTCAGAAAGAGAATCACAGATGAGACTCAAGCCTCCAGAATCATCTCACACATTAAGACGTCTCGTAGTCTCTACATCATGTGCCACATTCCTGTGTTCTGCTGGATCGCAGTCACAGTACTTCAGGATATTCTCATTGAGAACAATGCAGAGAACATCAGCACAACACTCACTGAAATGTACATTCACTTCCTGCGGATACAGATGGACATGAAGAGCCAGAAGTATGATGAACAAGAAGAAAGAAAACATTCAGAGCACTTAAAATTAAATAGAAAGATGATTTTGAAGTTAGCCAAGCTAGCGTTTGAACAGCTGAAGAAAGAAAACATTGTGTTCTATGAGAAGGATCTGAAAGAATGTGGTATTGATGTGAGTAAAGACACTGAGTTCACAGGAATGATCGCTGAGATCTTTAAGAAGGAA